AGGGCAGGTTTTTTTTTTTTTTTTTTTTTAATTTCCTTTTGATGTTTTCGTGATACTACGGGTGGAACCCGGGGATTTTGCACTGAGCTGCATCACCTTTTCTTACTTTTGAGACACAGTCTCACTAAGTCGCCAAGGCTGGGCTTGGACTTGTGATCCTCCTGTCATCCTCCCAGAGTGCTGGGATCATGTGCTCAGCCTTGGCCCAGTTTTAACGTTACCAACCCCGCTGGGCATTTGTGGTCCCAGGAGCAGCTGTGATTTTCTGGTCCAGGCTCCACAAGCCCTAGGTTTCCACACTACCGCTGCCAGGACAGGAGCAGAGCCCTGGTGTTCAGCTCAGACCAGGCATATGCCTATCACTGCAGTCTCAAGCAGGGTGGGAGGTGGGGTTGGCACCAGGCAGGGCTACTGCAGGGAGCTGGACATAGGCCTGGCACATTTGCCCTTCCCTGGGGAAGAGGATGCTGACCAAGGGAGGCTGCTGCCTGAGGCCCTAACAGAAATCTATGTCCCACCTGCCTAGAGCCATCTTGGTCCTCAGCCACACTCAGCTGTATCATGTAAGGTCTCTGGGGCTATACATCCCATGTCTGTGGTGACTTTTTATGGCCAATTTATAAGAACTTAATACTAGGGAAGACCTGCACATTTTACTTAAGAACTTAAGTACCAGGGTGCAGTTGGGTAAAGGAGTAACTTAAAAGGAGAACTACTATGCTTTTTGAACAGTCAATGCTTCTATCTCTTCAGCTTTCCCCGATGTCCTTTTTGGCCCCAGCTTCCCATCCAGGACCCCAAGACATTCAGTCCTCAGCTTCTGCAGCACCTCAAAGGAGAGACAGAGGCTCTGATTCTCCTGTTTCTGAGAACCTGGGCATCTGTGTTGCAGGATCTCCACTGTACACATTTGTCTGCTGTTTTCCTCATGATTACACAGGGCGGTGGGGCATAGGGAGGAAACCTCAAGGGCAGCAAGCACATCCTCTCATCATGTCATCCAGAGTCCCCACTGTCCACAGGGCTGTGACTGTTGTTGTTGACCGTGAGCACCTAACTGTCTCCCTGGTCTGCACAGCAGCCCCTGCCTCACTCACTGGAAGGGGTTGGTGTGGTGTGCAGTCATGTGTTGAGGGTGGGGACCTACATTCCTGCTCCCCAGGGTGCAGTGTCTATGGAGGTCACTTGGAATTGCACATGGGACATCTGTCACTTCTCCCCAAACAATGGACTTAATCACTAATATCAGCATGGACTCATGGATGTTTATTTTATACTTGACTATGTTCCAACACTACTGATTTTGTTGCTCCCAACTGTTCCAGCTTTGATCGTGGGGGCTCTTTTGTTTGGCTCTGGTACTGCTTTGTCATGACCCATCATTGTGGGGCTTTGTGTGTTTTTCTGAGTTCCTGACTTTCAGGCACCATAGGAAGCTCCAGGCTCATCTTAGGCACTTCCTGCCCCAGCCCAGGAACCTGCCGCTTCTCCAAGGTGCCCTGGCCCTCTACTGGAGAACATCAGAGGCCAAGATTTGGTTGCTGGGTGCACTAATTGCCACTCAGCTGTGGTTGGCTGCAAGTCCTCAAGTCACAGAGAGCAACACACCTGCCTGCACTTTACTAATGGATGCCTCTGCTATACAACTGTCCCAAATATTTGTGAGGGGTAGGTTTCAGGATGCCCTGAAGATACCAAATCCAAGGAGACCCAAGACCCTTATATGAAACAATACAGTATTTGCATGTAGCCTAGGAAATCTTACCCTGTACTTTAAATCACCCAGATTACTTTTAATTTCCAACACACTGTAGCCCTTGTTACAATGTATTATTCAGGGATAGAAAGACTATACTTGTGTAGAATAGATGCATTCCCCCCAAAATATTTCCAAAATTGGTAGAATCCAAAGATTCAGAACCCACACATAGAGAAAGCTGAAATATTACACATATTTCACCATATATCCATCTGTATTTTCATTAAGCTACACCTGTGCTCTTGCTGATCACCAACCACATGGGTCATTCAGACCCCTGCCCCTCGACGGCTGTAGTCCCACAAATTTCCAGCACCCACCACACAACCATAAGCATGGCAAGGGCAACTGTCCCCCACACCTGGTGGGTGCAGCACCACCAGCCAGCATGCAGCTCTGTGCAGCTCCCTTGCCTGGCCTTACAGATCCTGCCATCCCCAGAGCCATGAAGCACCTCCCAGGGCTTCAGCAAAGTCTCAGTGCGGTTGCAAGAGACATTCTCTGAACAGTCTGCCTACTTTCTGGGGACCCCAGCAAGCCTCGCAGGAGGGTTCACTGTGTTAGTCTACAGTTTGACAAACACATCATGTCACATCTCCACCACTGCACCAGCAGAATGAGCAGCTCTGCTGTCATAAAAATGCCCCAAGCTCTGCCTGTTCCTCTCTCCCTTTTCCTGAAGCCACTGTGCTTTCCACAATCTGCCTTTCCTCCTCCAGAACACAGGAGCCACACAGCACACAGAGTGAGAGATCCTCTTCCTACTGCTGAACAGAACATGCAAACTGTAGCTTCCGTGGCACTCACTGCAGGGCACCTTGGTTGCTTCTGCTTTTTGCTGATTACATACAAGCTGCGTGAACACTCACATGTGGTTTTCATGTGGACATCAGTTTATTCCAGCTGGAGAAACCCAGGTGCCTGAAACTGGATCACACAGTAAGAGCACACACGGCTTGCAGGACACAAGCTGCCTCCCACCGCGGCCACATTACTTCTCCCTTTGAGCAGCCTGAGCTGCTGTTTCCCATTCCTGCCAGTGTGTCTGCTGTTTAAATTCAGCTCTTCCAACAAATGTAGTGGTACAGTATCTTATGGTTTTTAATTTGCAATTCCCTAATGTGTATTCTCCTTGGTGAGGCATCTGTTTAGGTATTCTGCTAGTTTTAATTTTCTTAATATAAATAATTTCTTTTTTGGGGGAACAGGATTTTGCTATGTTGCCCAGATTGTCTCACAACTGGGCTCAAGTGAATCCTTCTGTATCAGCCTCCAGAACTGCTGGAACTACAGGCACTTACTACAACAACTAGGTTGTCCAATTTTTAATTGTTTTTTTCTCTTATTAGTCTGCTTTAAGAGTTTTTGGCATATTTGGAATGTAAGTCCTTTATCAGATATGTGTTTACAAATAATTTGCAGCTTGTCTTTCCACTTACTGTGTTTTTACAAAGCATCAATATTAATTTTAATGAAATCCCACTCGCCACTGCTTTTCCTGTGCTGGTGTCCCTGGCACAGCTCAGCAGTCACCACCAAGTGCAGGGCCATCTCACTGTGTTCTCCTTGAGAGGACGTATAATTCTGCAGTTAGGCCAATGCATGTATTGTATGTATTTTCACTAAGTTTCTTGGTACTTTTTAGGCATACAGCACAGTCACCTCCATCACTGGGATCCTGCACCTTTACACGATGTGTCTTGTTTCTTATTTTATCCCCATTCCCCTGCCCTCCCCTTCACCCTTCCCTATTTATAAAGACTTTGTTTCCATTTTTTCCTTTTCTCATATTTTTTCTTTTCCCTTCTTTCCTTTCCCCTATTCTTCCCACTTCTCCTATTCCTTTAAATCTTTTCTTCCTATTTCTTTTTTGTTTTTTTTTTTTGGTACTGGGGATTGAACTCGTGTCTTTACACTTGCAAGGCAGGCGGTGTCACCACTGAGCTAAATCCCTGGCCTAATTTCACATTATCAGTTATACAATTTGAACCTTATTTACACTTTTAGTCTTTCACACCAGAGAAACTATTCAGTATTTACACGTGTGTCTTATTAATTTCACTTAAGAGTATGGCCTCAATTTGCATCCATTTAGTTATGTCTTTAGTTTCTCATTCTTTGTGGCTGAGTAGTACTCTATTTTATAAAAAAACCACATCATTTTTATCCAGTTGATGGGCAATCGGTCTGTTTTCAAGTTTTAGCTATTACAAACTGTGCTGCTATAAACATAGGTGAGCATATATCGCTGTGATATGATCCTTTTAATTCTTTTGGAAAGATACCCAGCAGAGGGATGGCTGGGTCAAATGGGACCTCTAATCCTAGTTTTCTGAGGTATCTCCATATTGATTTCCACAGTGGTTGTAGGCCAATTTATAAACCATCTTGGAAAGCTCTGTGAATGTAGTTAGAGTAAGTAAACATGTGGACACCCAGCTGTGTTCCCCCACCTGCTACATAGCCTGGCCCATCACTCACAGACCAGTGTGTTCCTGTGGGGGTCTGCTCTGCATCATGAACCCTGTCTCAGGATTACTGAGGCTGATAG